ATCATGTTGTATGCACTTCCAAATTATTATTATTATTATTATTATTATTATTATTATTATTATTATTATTATTATTATTATTATTATCATTATTATTATTATTATTTTTATTTATTATTATTATTATTATTATTATTATTATTATTATTTTTATTATTATTATTATTATTATTATTATTTATTATTATTATTATTTTATTTAAAAGCAAGCACTTTGAATCACAAATTCAACGTTTTAATTAATTTAATTAACAATTAATTACTGTTTATTATTATTAGTAAATATGTTTATATTTATTAATCCCCCCCCCCTCTTTGAGCTGCAAATATTTTTATTACTTCTATGCGTTAAACCCGTAGGTCATACAGGAGCTGAGAAGTGGGTGGCAATTAGGTTTTATCCAGGAAACGGATAGTCAGGTCCCCTTCCTTGGATCAAGAGCCCTCCGTCACCGGCATCAAAGAACCTCTCTTGACGGAGGGTTAAGAGAAGACTAATGGAGAGAGTCTGTTGGTGGGATTAGTTTTTTTATTTACTTAATGAAAAAATACTTTAGTGAAAGCTGGGAGAAGTAATCAGCTTACTTTTGCTCTGTAAATTGTGGAGAGAAATGAGGAAGATGGAGAAAGTGTGTGTGTGTATGTGAGAGAGAGAGAGAGAGAGAGAGAGAGAGAGAGAGAGAGAGAGAGAAGAGAGAGAGAGAGAGAGAGAGAGAGACTGAGAGATTCCTTACCGAGGCTCTCGGTGAGGACTCTCTTGTCTAGATTAAGATTTGTCGTATATTAGTTACGTGTGTGAGTCAATGATATAATAGCAGAAGGCTCTCCTCCCACTCTCCTTTCCCTCCGGTCACTGCCAAAGAGAGAGAAAGAAAGAGAGTATATGTTAGACTGACACATCCTTAAACTTACACGAAGAAAGGCGAGGTGGTGGTGAGATTTCGAACTAGCTGCCCAAGTGTGTGAACCGCTCCCCCTCCTCCTTCTTTCTTCTGCTGGCTTCCTTTGCTACTGCTGCTGTCGCTGCTGCTGCTACTTTCGCTGCTGCTGCTGCCACTGCTACTCTCTCCTCCTCCTCCTCTACTGCTATCCTGCTTCTGTTAGTGAGAGAAAAAATTATTGTTTTGTACACGTAATGTACACACAGCTTACATGTTATAATGAGTTACAGCTTTGTCCTAGTTATTAGTGATGTTTTTAGCTACTATTTCTTGTGTTTTTATATTACTGATATTACCTGGTGACGTGTGGATCACCAGACATTATCATATCCACGCGTGGATCACAGGTATTATCATATTTGGTAACTGTAAAAGTATTCGCTCTTAACATCATTTCCTGCCTGTGCTCCAGATTCTTCAAGACTAGAATGATTTTCACCAGCTTCAAGGCTGGTCATGGACCGGGCCGCGGGGGCGTTGATCCCCGGAATAACCTCCAGGTAACCTCCAGGTAACCCCATCTTTTGTATATAGTTCTACTGTTTTCCAGTTATGTCCTTGAATTTGTATTGATAAAGCCACTAGCTGCCGAAACGTCTATAGTAAAGATACCCAGATATTGCACATGTGTCTAATTCGTCATTTTTTTTTAAATGCCTCTTGTGGTTTCTGACAACAAGTGGCTTCTTCAGTCCAGTGCAGAGAACGGTGGAAGATTAATAGGAGTTTGAGCTAATCAGTCCCACAACCTGGAGTCGATGTCTTTAGTTTATCAGTCTTGAGAGAAGATGGACTTGAAGACATCGACTCCAGGCTGAGGGACTTATTACCTCAAACTCCTCCTCTTCCATCGTTCTCTTCATTGGACTGAAGAATCCACTTGATGGTGAAAAAATATTTCCAGAATAAAGATACCCAAATGTTGTACAAGTATATCTCATATTTCAACATGTCGGTAGATCTAAACTCACTCTTCGCTTGATTTATCATGCAACTCCTTGGTAACCTTATTGGCTTTTGTCATCACATGATATCATCCAGTGTTGCAACACAAGCGCTGCACAGCTTCATTAAATCATTCTGCTCTATGCTATCATGCAGTTTGAACATTAAAATGGTATAAAATACCGACAGGTTGTTAGGTAAGACACATATGCATAACAGTTAGGTATCTTTTATTATGAACGTTTCACCTACACAGTAGGCTTCTTCAGTCAAGTACAGAAAAGTTGATAGAAGCAGAAGATACTTGAAGACGATGTAATCAGTCCATCACCCTTAAAGTTTTGAGGTGGTCAGTCCCTCAGTCTGGAGAAGAGCATTGTTCCATAGTATGAAACAATGTCCATAGTATGAAAAATATTGTTTCTTTCATACTATGGAAACCAATGCTCTTCTCCAGCTGAGGGACTCTGACCACCTCAAAACTTTATCGGGTGATGGGACCTGATTAATCGTCTTAAGTATCTTCTGCTTCTATCAACTTTTCTGTACTTGACTGAAGAAGCCTACTGTGTAGGTGAAACGTTTCATAATAAAGATACCTAACTGTTGCATATGTTTGTCTTACCTAACATCATTTGCAGTTTCTTTTCTGCATAAGGATCACTGCTGGGTACAAAGGCTTACTTCGTAATTACGGGCAAGAAAAATACAGGTGCAGAGACCAGGTTTTCTTGTGACAAACGTTTCGCCCCATGCAGAGCTTAATGAAACTCTTCATGGAGCGAGATACCTTCAAAATTAAAGAAGCTTCTTCTTGATTTTTGTGCTTGTGTATCTTTGTAAGTCACCAATGTAGCATTCCAGCTGGGCTGGTGGCCTTGGCAGCTTGTCCTGACCTCATAACTTTTTTCAAGTTTTTCGGTACCATATTTCCCCTGCCTCGTTTGATCTCCTGGCATCGAATTGATGGATCTTTAGCCATCATTTCCACATTGAGAAAACCCTTGTTTCCTTCGCGTCTTTCTGAGTGTCACTTCAGGGAACCTACAGTCTCCTGAAGCCTCGTGTTGACCTCCCATGTCGTGATCTTCAGCATCTCCCTCTTGAGATGTGAAGGATCAGGGGGAAGACTTGTATAACGCGGTGACATCGACCAGGAGGTGGCCAATTCACCTCGCCCGAGGTAGTGGACATGTGTTGGCGAGTCTGCAAACCATTACATACTTAATGTACTAAAAACTCCGATATTGGGAGTATTTTCTTATTAGATGCGGAACAGGACGAGTCTTTCCAAGCCCGCCAGTCCTGTTAATGATTCAAAATCACTTGTTCGTGATCTTCATTGATATATATTATATATATATATATATATATCATTATATATATATATATATATTATTATATAGATATATTATATATTTATATACTTCTATCTGAATTTTGTGTTGACAAACACTGCATTAAGGCAGCTGCAGTGATGTAGATAATTTGATTTCCAGGGAAAGGGCAGAGGAGCGTCAACTCATATAGGATAAATTTATGAGAAGTGCCGGTTGTTGTACCCGAGACTGGAAAGTTGATGTATACTTGATAACTACGATGGTGGAGGGTAAATGACTATTTAGCAACACAGATGCACTGATCTTAATGATAATAATAATAGCAATAATATTAACAATACTACTACTACTACTAATAATAATAATAGTAATAATAATGATAATAATAATAATAATGAGGAAAAAAAGATATTATTATTAATTATAATTATTATTATTTGTTTTATTATTATTATTATTACTTTTATTATGCGTATATATTCATGAGGAAATTTTTAAGATTATATCCACAAAAAATGCGCAATTAACCCGTTGATCACACATCGGCGCGTAGACGGAGCACAACTATTCAGAAGATGCCTTGCCAGTTATCTTTTAAAAATATTGTGATTTTTTATAACATCCTGCAGATCCCAAGTATACATACAAATCATTTCGCTCAGATAAAGCGGAAACATTGCCCCGTAATAGCTTGCTTTCCACGACCTACTTTTATGAGTGTTTTACGAGGGGGATGCTGCTGCTTTTATAAGGTTAATAATGTGTTTTTCGAGCAAATCTCTCTCTCCGTGAGAAGATGCACTCATCAAGATTTGCATAAACGGAGAGAAGAGAAAATTTTGAAAGTGGTTACCCTTGTTACTGAGAGGAGAGAGAGAGAGAGACGAGAGGAGAGAGAGACGAGAGAGAGATCGGAGAGAGATCGGAGTGAGGAAGAGAGAGAGGAGTGAGGAGAGAGAGAGAGACGAGAGAGAGCAGAGAGAGAGGACAGAGAGAGAGAGAGAAGAGATCCTGTTCCTACTTTGTATGTTCATAACAATTAAAAAAATTGCTTTCAAATGAGCTGATGTATGGTAAAAGCTCTTAGCTTGACAATAAAGTTAGAGGAATCCTTAACTGTTAATAGCTTGTACAATAAGCTTAGGTTCCGTAAACCTTGTCAACCCTGTGTAAAAAAAGAGAGAGAGTGAGAGAGAGGAGATGACGAGAGCGAGAGAGAGGAGAGTGAGAGAGAGAGAGGAAGAGATGAGGACCGAGAGAAACCCAGGAAGAGAGAGAGAGAGAAAGACGGTTGCAAGATTTTGTACAGAGGCTCACAAGTGCCTCACACCTTAAGTATGCTCCAATTCTCTTGTATTGCCTGCTCTACGTCTCATCTGCGACTGCTTGACAGAGTTAGAGAACGAGCAAGGACGTCTCATCTCTCGCCTGGACCTCATCCTAGATAGATCTGTCATTTCAGCAAGAGCATTCAACATAGGAGGATGTGGGTGGCCTTACTGTATGTACAGGACCAATATTGTCAAGTTACCACACTTGGATCCACTTCGAGTGACAGCGTGAAGCAAGCCCTATACCACAAGAACGGGCCAGCAAGCAGCTCACTTTACTGACTGTACCCTTCCCAGAACATCATTCATCTGAGATCATTATCCCACAGATGACTCGAGTATTGGAACACATTCATACAGCATTATTATGTCAACGAAATAAAAGTCAGTGATGAAACTAAAATTTGCTGGCCCACAGAGGTCTCAACTTCATCTGTTCCCTCTAGTATGTCTAATAAAATAAGAATGCTTTCAGATGAGTTGATGTAGGTTAACAGCTCTCATCTGTAAATTAGTTAGGAACCCTTAACTACCTATCGTAAAACTCGGTGTAAGATTAAGAGAGAGAGAGATAGAGAGAGAGAGAGAGAGACGAGAGAGAGGAGCCCTGTGAGAGAGAGTACGAGAGAGCAGAGACGAGAGAGAGAGAGAGAGAGAGAGAGAGAGAGAGAGGAGATGCCCCGCGAGAGAGAGAGAGAGAGAGAGAGGGTAGAGTGTCCGGGCAGCGCCTGATCTCAGGAAGGAAAGGAAGTGGTCTCTGTCCATGACAAACGAGGGAGCTGCGATTAAAAGTGCTTTTTTTCCCAGAGAAAAGGCTCTTGACGTTCGTATTTTTTTCCCCCCTGGCAGAAATGTTTTCTTTGTTGTTATTTTGTTCATCCATACGAATACTCGCTAGTTGAGGACTGAAGAAGCCTTCCAGCCGACTTGTAAATAAACGTGAGGTTACTTGCTAAAATACTGAACAATATAAAGAAATTTCCGATCTAAAATTACTAGTGTAGAATTTAGAACCACACGCTAAGTATAGTGACAAAAGGCTCACAAACACACACACACACACACACACCACAACACACGCTTAATTTAACGAGGAGATAACGTTTTGTTCTGAGTAAAGATTCTGTCATCATTCCTATAATCTGAACACTAATTAAATGTGGTAAATAAGACACTTGTCGGTTTTCTTAAGCCATTTATAGAAATTAGTGAAATATAAGATAAAAGAGTAAAAGCGAACACTCGTTCGCCACCGAGAAGGTTCATTACTGCAGCAAAGGTGTAGCTGGTAAAATAGAACCCCCCCGCATCTTTAAAACCGAACACTCGTTCGCCACAGAGAAGGATCATTACTGTAGCGAAAGTGACCCTGGAAAAATAGAACCCCCTACCTTTAGAACACACGTACACTGCTAAAGCAGAACACTCACTGCCCGAAGTCGAGCAACTCTTAACCGATTAAAAGAGGAGTTCTCACTGATCGAAAAAAGAGGGAACATTCGATTGAAAATAAGAACAGTCGACTCTAATCGCTAAAAAATATCACTGAAAGTGACTTCTTTCGTTGAAACCAGAACACGAATAATAAAATACTGGAAACTGGGAGCAACCACTGCGTAAATTTATAAAACCCACTGTCAAAAATCAGTCAAGGATTGGGAACATCTGATCACCCCACTGAAAAAAAACAAATTCCTTACTTTTATACACTGGGAAAAGACATGCTGAAAAAAAGCATTTTTTTATTTTTTTTTACGATTAAAACAACAAAAGCTCGTTAAAAAAAATCTAATCTATGCTTATTGAAAATTAAACATATTAAAAACCAATCGCCCTGCGTTTGCAACACGGAAATTCACTTTTTGAAAAACTATCTCTATAAAATTTAAAATTAAAATCTTTTTCTTCAATCCTCAGAACCAACCATTGCTTTATAAATTTCATACTTTCTCGTGTAAAAACCATGTAACTGGTTTAAAAAGAATTCATTGCTTAAAAGAAAGCAACTAACTTTCTAAAAATTCCCACATCTAACTTTCTAAGAACACCAGCTTTCTAAGAACACCAGCTTTCTAAGAACACCAGCTTTCTAAGGACACCAGCTAATCTAAGGACACCAGCTTTTAAGAACACCTGCTTTATAGGATCCCAGCTTTCTAAGATACACCAGCTTTTTCTAAGAACACAGCTTTCTAAGAAACACCAGCTTTCTACGGACACAACAGCTTCTAAGAACGCCAGCTTTCTAAGAACACCAGCTTTCTAAGAACACCAGCTTTCTAAAAACACCAGCTTTCTAAGGACACCAGCTTTCTATGAACACCAGCTTTCTAAGAACACCAGCTTTCTAAGAACACCAGCTTTCTAGAGACACCAGCTTTCTAAGAGCACCAGCTTTCTAAGAACACCAGCTTTCTAGGGACACCAGCTTTCTAAGAACACCAGCTTTCTAAGAACGCCAGCTTTCTAAGAACACCGCTTTCTAAGAACACAGTTTCTAAGGACACCAGCTATCTAAGGGACACCAGCTTTTCTAAGAACACCAGCTTTCTAAGGACCACAAGGCCTTCTAAGACTCAGCTTTCTAAGGATACCAGGTTTCTTGATCATCTGCTTTTCTAAAGAACACGCTTTCTAAGAACACCAGTTTCTAAGAAACACCTGGCTTCTAAGAAACACCAGCTTTCTATGAACACAAGCTTTCTAAGAACACTGCAATTTCTAAGATAACACCAGCTTTCTGTGTAACGGTAAACTCACTATCTAAATTCGGAACACCCACGCCTGCATCGAACACTCACACATGCAATTCGAACACCCAACCTGAGCGTTGACGAGAGTGTGAAACTCTGTGTCATACTTCTAAGTGGTTCCGGACACACAATGACCATGAATCCAGAGGCCGTGTGGTTGCCGACGCGACAACTACTGAATGGACCCGGCCCGACCTTGTAGATAAAAAGGTATATTAATTATTATTATTATATTATTTTATTTTTACTTATTATTATTATTATTATTATTATGTATTATTATTTATCATCATCATCATCATTATTATTTCATTATCATTATAGTAATTTTATCACTATATTATTATTATTATTATTATTATTATTATTTTTATTATTATTTCATTATTATAATTATTATTTTTTTTTTTTTAATTTTTAGTCTTGCCTCATCCTAGACATTTGGAGGGAAGCTATAAATTCCTTGGATAATCAAGAGCCATTTTAACTTTAGCATTAGATACCCCCTGAAATGAGAGGAAAGGGATGCAGAGAGAGAAAGGGGAATAGGCGAAAGCAGAAATGAAGGGAGAAGAAAAAACATGGAGGGCAACAATGAGAGTAGGAGGGAGAGGGGAAAGGGATAGAGGAAAAAAAAGGAGATTGCATAATGTAAACAATGGGAAAAACATGACGGCAGAGAATTAGGGAGAGAGAGAGAGAGAGAGAGAGAGAGCGAGAGAGAGAGAGAGACGAGAGGAGATGGGTTTTCCATAGATTTGTTGGAATTAAGGTCTATACTTATCCTTGAGTATAATTATATAATATAAATATATATATATATATATATATTATATATATATATATATATATATATATATTATATATATATTTTATTATATATATATATTATTATATATATATATATGTGTGTGTGTGTGTGTGTGTGTGTGTGTGTGTCTCATTAATCACATTACTAAATTTTCAAATTAAAAAAAAAAAAAAAATATTATGGGGAAAGAAATATGTTGACTTTGTTGTTGAATTTATTGCAATAAACTGAAGGCAAATTACATATTTTTTTTTTCTATTTTAGTCTGATTTTGACTATGTTGACATGAGATATTCTTTTTAGTTCAGTAACCTCAAATATATTTTGTTTCGGACTGATGGTACCAATGGAAACTTATATTTTTGTCCCACCAAATAGTGAATGGTAATCCAATTTATTTTGTGGGAAAAAAAAGAATTTGTCTATTAGTAAGTAAGTCTGAAGACGAAAGTATATTTTGGCAGATTTTTTGTATTACTTTTCGTTGGTGTGGTAGAGCTTCGTCACGACTTAAAGCTCTACAGAGAGGGAAACGTAGTCCATATAAGAGCTTGCCTTGCGAATATGCTTTTTCTTAGCTTTTGTTGACAATAGGCCATTAGTAGATGGCTTAATGTTTCAGGTTGCATATAATAATACTAATTACACTAATTATACTAATTCGTACACCAATTTATACACTTATTATACACTGTACACTATACTAATCTCGCATATATTTATACTAATTACATTAATTATACTAATCACTAAGCTACATTAATTTATACTAATTACGTTTCGTCCAGTGTCGAGCTTCATCAGTCCAGCAAATATGGAAAACTGAGTTAGATATATACGCAACACTTCGGCATCTTTCGCCCCCGCAGGAGGCTTTTTTCATTCAAATGCAAAGGCGAATTATTAACTGATTTCATCAATTATTGTTAAATACCGAGGGAAATGTTTTCAAAACCAAGATTTGCTTAGTGTATTTGTTTATTATTCTTGTAAGTACTAATTGCCAGCCTCGCCATCGGATATGCAATGTATATCTTAAATATTTACCAGATTTAGATAGAAATAATATGCTCAATGCATCAGAGGATGTAAAATATATACATGGAATAAGTGGGTTATATAAAAGTATATGGGAAGAGAATAAAAGAAACTATTAGACTTACCAGCATGGGCCAGTAGGCCTACTGCAGTGCTCCTTCTTTCTCATGTTCTTATTAGGAAACTCGTTCTCTGAACACATAATCTCTAGGTTGAGGGACTGATTACCTCAAGATAATGGACCATCTCGTCCATTGTCTTGAGGTAATGGAAGTAATGGAGCATCTCGCAAGACTGTACTGAGAGAAGGCAATGGAGCATCTCTCGAGACTGTACCGAGACAAATCAATGTAGCATCTCGTTAGACTGTACCGAAACAAGGTAATGTAGCATGTCGTTAGATTGTACCGAGGAAGGCAATGCGTTCTCGCAAAGACTTATCGAGAAAAGCAATGCAGCATCTCACAAGACCGTTACAGAGGAAAGACAATGCGTATCTCAAAAGGGACCGTAAGGGCAAGAAAAATGCAGTATTCCAAGACCGTCAGAGGAAAGACAATGCAGTATCTGCAAGACCGTACGACAAGGAAAATGGAGCATCTGAAAAAACTCAGGTCTTCTCACCTGAGATCCGTTGAAATTCGATTTAAATTGCATTTGTGGGCGTGGAGGGAGGGTGATGGTGATGGTGAGGGTATGGGGGGGGGGCATTGGGAGGGGAAATGGAGGATAAGGGGAAGGGAAAAAAACGAAAGGGTGAGGGAAAAAAGGGAGATAAATAACCTGTGGGAAAGAGGGGGGGAAAGATAGGTAAAAGTGAGAGGGTGGGAAGAAGAGAAACTGGTGAGAGGGAAGAGAAAAAGGGAAAAAAGTGAGGTGAGGGTGAGAGAAAAGGAGGGAAGGGGGGGCACTGCAACAGCCGTAGGTTGCTGCGTGTTTTTTTCTTTTTTATATTCTTAATGGAGAAAAAACTTAGGAGGTTTTAAACGATTGTTTTTTTTCGATACCTTCTGGGATCCCCTTTTTGCGATCGTGAAGAGGGTCCAGAAGGGGGTTTTGAATTTACATATCAAATTTAAACTCCAAGTCTCGGTTCCCCTGGGTTTTTTTTGGCAATAATAATAATAATAATATAAAAATAATAATAATAATTTTAATAATAATAACAACAACAACAACAAAAACAACAACAACAACAAAACAACAACAATAACAACAACAACAAAAAAATTTAAAAATAATAATAATAATAATAATAATGATAATAATAAAATAATAATAATAATAAAAATAATAATATTAAATATTTATAGATGGGGTTGTAAAAGGAAGTAAAAGAGGGTTTGGAAAAGGCGTGGAGTTTAAAAGATAAAGAATCAACACAAATGGGAGTTGTCACAGTGCTCTTTTTCTGATGACATGTGTCTTGGGAGATTTTGAAGAAAGCTGCAGAGATTGGTGGATGAAATTTGGTTTGGGTGGAAAAAAAGAAAATTAAAGGTGGAATCAGAAAAAGTAAGGTTATGAGGATAACAAAAAAAATTAGGTGATGAAAGATTGAATATCAGATTGGAGGGAGAGAGTATGGAGGAGGTGAATGTATTCAGATATTTGGGAGTGGACGTGTATTACAACCTAGGATTTCAAATGGCCTGTTATCCCAGGTGTAATGGGAGCAAATAAACACAGTAGAAAAAGTTTAGACTTATATTATCCTTCACCAATTATAACAGCAATATGTACACTATGTACAGTGATAAATATAGTGCACTCCACGGTAAGCAAGGCAGAAATAGAAGCCACAAGATAGCAGACCGTGCTTCAACCAGCTCTAGAGTGGGAATGACAAGGGCAGACAGGAGAGCGGTATCCACATAACCTCTGAGATTGTCAATCCCACCTTCTTATTGGCTAGAACCTGGTCACTAGTTGAACGATGGGGCCCCATCATCAACTCTTAGCAACCTGGTTCGCTGGTTGGGGGAGATTAGCCTGTAAATGAGGGTGTGTCCATGCGCCGAATAAAGGTTACGTACTCTTTGCATGCCACAACGTGTCAGCGGATGGGTCTATGAAAGATGAGGTGAATCATAGAATTGATGAGGGAAAAAGAGTGAGTGGTGCACTTAGGAGTCTGTGGAGACAAAGAACTTTGTCCTTGGAGGCAAAGAGGGGAATGTATGAGAGTATAGTTTTACCAACGCTCTTATATGGGTGTGAAGCGTGGGTGATGAATGTTGCAGCGAGGAGAAGGCTGGAGGCAGTGGAGATGTCATGTCTGAGGGCAATGTGTGGTGTGAATATAATGCAGAAGATTCGTAGTTTGGAAGTTAGGAGGAGGTGCGGGATTACCAAAACTGTTGTCCAGAGGGCTGAGGAAGGGTTGTTGAGGTGGTTCGGACATGTAGAGAGAATGGAGCGAAACAGAATGACTTCAAGAGGTGTATCAGTCTGTAGTGGAAGGAAGGCGGGGGTAGGGGTCGGCCTAGGAAGGGTTGGAGGGAAGGGGTATAAAGGAGGTTTTGTGTGCGAGGGGCTTGGACTTCCAGCAGGCATGCGTGAGCGTGTTTGATAGGAGTGAATGGAGACAAATGGTTTTTAAATACTTGACGTGCTGTTGGAGTGTGAGCAAAGTAACATTTATGAAGGGATTCAGGGAAACCGGCAGGCCGGACTTGAGTCCTGGAGATGGGAAGTACAGTGCCTGCACTCTGAAGGAGGGGTGTTATGTTGCAGTTTAAAAACTGTAGTGTAAAGCACCCTTCTGGCAAGACAGTGATGGAGTGAATGATGGTGAAAGTTTTTCTTTTTCGGGCCACCCTGCCTTGGTGGGAATCGGCCAGTGTGATAATAAAAAAAAAAAAAAAAATTAATAATAATAATAATAATAACAACTACAAAACAACAAACAACAATAACAACAACAACAACAACAACAAACAACAATAATAATAATAATTAATAATAATAATAATAATAATAATAATAATAATAATAACAACTAAAACAACAACAACAACAATAAAACAACAACAACAAAACAACAACAACAACAACAACAACAACAACAACAACAACAAAAACAACAACAACAACAACAATAATAATAATATTAATAATAATAATTTAATAATAATAATAATAATAATATTAGCTACAAGTAAACTTCTCAACAGTCTCTTCATTAACGCTTTTAAAATACCCTGTTTACAACTTTCTGTTCTTCAACTCCAACGCCATTTCTCTTTTTTTCCTGATTTTTAAAACATCCACCACTATTTCTCTAATTTCCCTGACATTTCGTTGATTATCACGCTAGTTTCGCAAAATCTGTCTCGCCA